TCCTCCTCCTGCCCACCGTTTGCACAAAGCAGAGCCAACAGTTACATTTATCACATCCCCAGCCCTGACAGTTAAGAAAAAGGTTGGCTTCCAAAATTAAAATCATCTCATTCAGTAACATGAACTGAGTCATTCATACTATGTAAAATATAACGCCATATTCACAGGTATTGGAACCCAAAAGTAAGTTTTGGAAACAGATCTGCTTAAAATACACATGCAAAGATGAAATCTGAGAATAAATCTTAATCACAGAAGCACAGCCTGCCTTTTTAATCGGTCAGAGCTAACTGAGTTTCTTTAACAGAGGAAAGCACAGTCCATTGCTAGAGTTGGTCTTGTAATATATAAAAAGCAAAAAGAGAATGACAATACTTCAGTATTCAGCAGAAACTGACTCAGGCTATAAAACAGGGATATTTACCTTAGACCAGAAGTGAGAGAATAGTCGCAATCACCCTGCCACCAAACTAACCACATACCCAGGGATGGCCTTAAGAAGATCAGCTCATCAATAATGGAACATGGAGCCTTCAACAGTAAGTAGGTCAGTGGTACATATTTCTATTTTCCCCTTGGATAGTCACTCAGCAGCCTACTCGGATGGAACTCAGACTAGCTTTTTGTTCATGCCAGAAGAGACCGATGTCAGCATCACAAAATGTACCAAATCCTGCCATCTCTTCAAGAACTCTAGACCTGAACATGAGTAGGGACAGAAGTTGGATTGTTGAAGTTGAGTCGCACTGGGAGGTTGTGTGGAGAAGTGCATGGGTATCGCTCATCCTGTACCAGCTGTGGGGTAGGAAATGTATTTGTGGGACAACTAATAGGCAAAATTCTGCATAAGTCCCATCTTTGTTGGTTGGACTAAGTTGGAAGCCTCCCATCAACTGATATTATAAAGACAGGTGTAGATCCTAAATCTTTCCAGGGATTTCAGTGTGTTCTAGTTCAATAGCTAATGTGATTAAAACGTAATAGTTCAAGATACTTAGATGAAACAATATCAACACTTGTTACTTTGGGTTCTATTACTAAGAAAATGTCATCAGAAGAATGGAAGAAACATGCTACTTTGCAAGTGGCTGTAATATGCATATCAAATAATTGCAACTGAAGGAAGCTCATTTTCTTTCCCTTTTCCAAACTCTTGCTAGAGGGCTGTAAGTAGAAAACTGCCCAGTCAGCCCACAAATACTTGCTGAGTCTGAAGAAAGCTCAAAGCTGATTCAAAGGGAGCTGTCCAGTTTAAAGTCAACATCATCCATTCCTGCAGGACAGCAGCACAAGCAAAAAAAGTAAAAGTAGCTCAATCTATTCAAAATTTACGGCAACTGTGACCATCCAATATTTTCAGTAAGAAGGCCACTGATTAACAGCACTCTGCAGTTGGACTCTTGCTGGGTGCGTTAATCAGCAGCCAGGAGATCTGATGCCCAAAGGCAGTGTGGAGAGCAGAGTAGATTAATCATCTTTGGAACAATTGCATAGAGGTCATTTTTCCTGCAATCAAACTCAATAGGAAAAGCAAAACCAAATGAACTTTATACTTTTCCCGGGCTACACAGATGGTGTCACCTCAGTGTGGCATGCCACACACCGGAAGACTGAAAGATGCATAATATTACAGCTAGAAGGACTGCATAGGCAGGAATAAGTCAGTCTGGTAATTTTATATCATAAACAACATGTTTTATATAGGTTAGCATGAGCACCAGTTCATCAAGCACACATCAGTTGTTCTCTGTTGCTAAAATGCATTGACAGAGAAAACAGAGTATATTCACATTTCCTAAATTATACAAACTATTCCATACTACTTATGCTAAATGTAAACATGTATTGGAAGATGTGTCCAAAATGAGTAAACACTCTAGAGCCTGAAATCTTAAAGTCTAATTTATTTGCCACCTCATGGCACTTTTCATTTGTTCTGCTCACTCTCTTTAGCTGAACAAGTCATTTATGTGAGTAATGAAAATAATCTTACTGTGCAGTTTTTAATCTATTATTTAATAGTTAAAAGAAGAATAAAAATCACCCTTTCTATCAATAATTCAAGTCACCACAGTTTTAGTGCTAATGCAGCCATTCACTTGCCCCTCACACTAGTGCCTCATGCATTATTAATGCTTAGGCTGACTGTTTTGAGGTCAAATGTGGGAACTGTGGTTAAAAACAGTTACAAGGTGTGGGAAGGTCAACTGAGGAAAAGATTCCCATTGCTAACAAAACAAATTAGACCACAAGGGAAAGGAAAACTGCAGGGTAGAGTCCTCAGTATCTGACTTTGTAGAAGGCCAGAAAGATACAATCCAGAGCCACTAAATTAGCAATGACAATATCATGGGTGGCATGAATGGCATGAATACCTATGAATAGGCAAGACTATACTTATCAAAGCCATAAAAAAAGGAAAATTTTGGTACATGGGAAGTAAAATGTATAGAGCATGAAACAAAGTTTAGTCATATGGATAAAAGGATTTTATACTTGAGAATATGTTTCATGCATCAGGTCTGTCTGTTTGGGCAGTTCTTTCACAAAGATGTAAGAAAAGAAATCAAGTTGAGGAAAGGACGATGGAAGCCCTGAAAACTGATTTCTAGACTGTGACCTTGACTCGGAGGTTGAACGTGAGCTGTGAAGCAGACAATGAGGATGCAAATGATCAGCAAATCTGGCAGGAAATCTGCGATTTTTGTTTAAAACCAGAGATTACAAGCACAAATTTGGACAGCCTGATCCTGCTGTAGAAACAATGGCTTCAAAAACCCTGCCTAAATTTCCCTTATATTGCCCCACCACCAGATTTTTTGCCCAGGCGCTTAAGGGATCAGTGCCCTGAGTTTTCTACATTTTAGCTTGCCCCTGACATTAACAGGTCCCAAGACACTCTTCTCCCTGGAAAAGGCTACATCAAATATTTTTAAACAAATTGCCTTAGGCTCATGAGAAACTGATCTTGCACAGCATCCCTTTGGGCCAGTATTCTGCTGCAGTGAAAAAAAAATTGCAAATGTTGTATTTCTTGGGTAACGTGGAAAAGATATTCTTCAAACAGAAGAGTAAGGTTCAAAAGTGAAAACAGTCACAAAATCCAAATAATGTACAGTCAGGCTTAGCAATTCAATTGACAGAGTCGCATAACAAACATCACATCTTGAAATGTGTTTGTCTAAGAAAGGAATTGAGACTAGGGACATCACTGAGACTAACTCGTTTAGCTGGTACAGCTGAGATATCACCACAAGTGAATCAAAAGGGGAGAGTTACTAGAAGGAATTAATGAATGTCAATAAAGGCTGAGATGTATCCACTCTCAAATTCCAGGGAATCTACAAATGAAATAAGCTGCCTAGGAATTGTCACTAGCAAGCACCCTGGATGGCTAAGGCATGGCAAAGGAACTGTACTTGAGAGCAGTGGTCTTAGGGATGCTTCGAGTTGTGATAAATTCCTATTTGCAGTCGACCTGGCTTCATCCATCTACATTTCCGTGGCTGGACTGCAATGTCTGTCATGCACAACCTCTGCAGCAAGGACGGCCTGCCCAAGGCTATTCCATTGCAGAGACTCAGCAGGATTATGTACTGAGGATCTGAAAAATGAACTCTGAGCCGCTAGGTGTCAGAGCTCCCCTGGCAGTGCCGCTGATCCGCCTCTCCAGAGGGAATCCCGCATCCCACATTAATGAACTAGCAACCCACATTAATGAACTAGCAACCCTCTGACAGTTTCCGGGCGGTACTGCACAGTACTATGTGGAGCAAATTGGTTCATTACTCACTTCTAGTGCATGGAAAAAAAAGGCTCCAGATTAAGGATAATAAACCGCACTGAGTTTATGAATATCCCAGATTTCTGTGCTGGTTGCTCAAGTCCTGCAGTGGTATTTCTGGTGGGATTCTCAAAGGATTAGGTATCCTCCCTGCTTGGAAAGCATGCCTGGGTCAGGAGGCAGGCAGTAATGCAGCACTTCCTAGCCACATTGAACAGTGTCCCACATTAACCACTGGTGCTACTGCTTAGGACATCACATATCAGACAGGCTAGTTTTGTACAGCAAATCTTAAGTACAAGGCCTTGAGTAAGAATAACTACTTTAGACTTGAGGAAGTAAGGAAGTACCTTCCATTTATATGAGCTGACATATAAACAAAAGTAGTTTTTACTGAAGAGCTTGAAGTGAGAAAATGCTAAGAACGAGGTCCTGCTGGTATAGATAGTGGTGACACTGGCGAATGAGTTCCCAGGCAGGAATTCCCCACACTGTAGTTCTTCTGTTCACCAGAAGAGCTGCACTCCTCTGCCTGCTCTGAGACCTTCTTGTTGCCTCCTTGTGCAATCATGAGATATTAGCGGTTACCATGAGGGAATTAGAGTGCAGAAATAGCCATACTCTGAGTGACTTCTGTAGGAGCCCATATCCAGACAAGCTATCAAGTGCCAGAGAGGTCCATGCTGGCTAATTTGGTATCATTTTCCAGGGATATCTACAGCTGTTCCTTCATAAGACATGTCTATATGAAAATTGGGCATATTCTTTCTTCTATCACCTGATTCAAAATCTAACCCTGGGCTTTTATAAATCAGCAGTTTCCAACCCACAGAGCAAACCACTTTGGCAAGCCCTGGCACAGGACCCTGCCAGGCCTGCCTGGGCCTCTTGAAAGGTCTCACAATAACAGTTGTAGAGAGAAAGAGAGCGTCCAACTCCACCTCTTTGCTCAATTTTTGCATCACAGATTTACTAGAGACACAAAAAGGGCTGAGCACTATAATATTCTGCAACTGAAATGCTATTTGCAGTTTGATAAACAAAACCATAAATGGTTAGGACATTGCTAATTTGGCCTCAATTGCTCTCCAGTGGTAGCCTATTCTGATTCTTTTTTTCAGCTATTTCCCTTCACTCATTCTTCAACAATATATTGCTGAATAAAAACATGGAAATAGATGTGTGGACACTTAGGATGTTTATGCTTATATTGCAGGTGCAACACTGAGGAATCCACTTGTAGATAATGACTGCTGCCTCCTCATGTGTCATACAGGACATGGTGCTCCTTTGGTGCCAGATTCAGCATGGACTTCCCTCTGGAATCTGCGAGAGGTGTCACAGTGGAAAATCACAGCAAGCCCTCTAACTAACAAGGTTAAGGGCTCATGACTGCTTCACACTCCTGAAACCTTGTTTGAAGATTTTACTTGTAACTAACAGTCTTTTAAAAGATTTTCAAGAAAGTTATGCCATGACAGGAAGGTTCAACAAAAAAGGTACTGTATTTCCATCATAATGTGCCACCTGACAGCTGAAAATGTCACTGTATTTTTAAAACACAGATATGTGCAGAATAAGCACTCACTTGGATAGTCTTTATGAGGAGGTAAAATTCTTTTCAATTGTATTAATTTTTTCTTGACTTTTACAGAAATGTTTTATATATTTTATCGCAACTGTTTACTCATCTCAAAGCAACAACATTCTAGAACACAGAGTGCATCAGCATGGCAAGATTTACTGCCTGGAGAAACGAATTTTGTAAATATGCAAATAAAAATATGAGGAAGCATAATATATTATGTCCTATATTGTCCACAGACATACATTTATCAAGTAGCAGAAATGGTGAATAAAGAGGTATACTTGAAAATTGCTTTAAAACAGGTAAGCTATTTCATTGTTTTAAAGGAAAGAAAACATGTCACCTTTATCCTGAACAGTGATTGTACTTAATCTTATATAGATCTTATTTTCTAATTTAGAAACCAGTCCTAAAATACCTGCTAGAACACACTGTTACCCCAATTTTCATTTTTATAGATATTTTTAAAGGAGAGCTAAGAGTCAGTTTAAGAGAACAGTCATTATTTTCATACCCAGTGCTAATCTGGTCCTGACTGTTTAAAATACTGGAGGTAAATCAAAATCCTGCACTCTGTAGGTGGAACCAAATCATCAAATGGTCCCATCTGGCCTTAGTATGTTTGAAGAGATTGTAACAACCTCCTGATCTTGCACCCTGCCCCAGATCGTATTTAACATATGCTGTTAAATATATGTTTTCTGTGTTATATGTATATGTATAAAACATATATTTAAACAGAGTGAAAGAAGGACATATGAGGCTGCGGAATTAAGCAAAGAAAAATAATTCCTTCCTGACTCGACAGTGAGTACAGCCCTTGATGTGAAAGAAGGTACCCTTCGCTCCCACTTACTCCTCAAATTCACGGGGATTGGTGAGAGGATTTAATCTTATTTGGCTTTAGTCATTTAGGTAACTGACCATACCTTGCCTATATTTGGCAGACAGCCGCAGAGGTTGATAAATCGCTTTATGAAAATACTACACTCTATTGACAACAGAGGACTCCTAGGTAAAAAGCTTACATTAGATGCCTGATGTTTTGATGTCTAAAGTTAGATGATTTCTATCTTAAATAATTCAGAATGATAAGAATTTATAATCAGATTATTTAAGCGATGTCTACATTCTGTAGAATCTGGAGCTGTTGAAAGAAAGTGTAACACATGAAGACTGGAATGCTGTCAAATGCACCAAATGCACTAGATGATACTTCATGCACGCTTGCAATATTATGTTACAATTACCCATAGGACAGATTCTATCTCCAGTGCTCGAAGGCTGCCAAAGAAAGTCAACTTTCAGAATACCAGATTACCAGTCCTTTATCAGAGAAAGTATCTTCCTAAACACTAGACTAGAGATTCCCAGGGCCTTCTTCCATGGCACAAAAATAAGTTTCTGAAGACTGTTCTTAATTGCCATTTATTTATATGCCATTCATATTGCCATATGAAAGTTTGAAATTCCAAGCAGTCTCTCATATCGGCTCTCTTTCCTAAAACACTAAGAGACACATTGTATTTGGGCTACGGAAATAATAATAAATACAGGGTTTTACATTCTTGTAGTGAAAAGAGGCTGTACAAAAATAAGTGATCCCTTTCCCTTTGAATTACCACACTTTGACTCCTCACTATCTTCACTCACCAACACTTCTTTTAATGTAGTAGTAGCTGAGCACAGAGCCTCAAGAGAGCACAGAGACAGAATGTCTTGACCTAGTAGCACACTGCACCATTTCCTTCCGGGCTTCTAACAGAAATCAACAGCATGGAGAAAAAGAAAGGCAACATGAGGAGAAAAGTCACTTTTTGCTCCTGAATTGTACAGTACTTCTGCAACTCTCTAATTGCTTGTCAAGGCGGATGGTAATGCGTTTGCTGTTTTATAGAAGCACAGAGGAACGAATGATTTGTCTAACATTACTTATCTTTTTAATAAATATGTCTTCTTTCTCTTTCTGGTGCTTTTCTCCCTGAAAGTCATATTCATCTGCACTATCTACTCAATTCCTGTCACTGCTTAAATTGTAAGTATCCACGTCTTTTCCCTGCCCTTCATACTCAGTGCAAACAGCTTCCCATCTGCAGGGCCTTTTCTTCTGCTCTCCTCACGGACATTAAATCCAGGCTCTATAGCCAGTCCATGGTGCCCTTCTGATAAAAGGCACAGGCAATCAGAGAAGACAGAGAAGATGATTAACTTTTGCTCCTCTTCTGTAGGTGCCACAGTTTCACATGCCTACTCTGGGGGAGAGAGGCAGATTCATGAGGCACCTGCAGTGCTTCATTAATGGACACATTTAGTTCTAGCAGTTCTAAGTATGCACTGAGATTCAGAGGTCCTGGGTTCAATCCATGCTGCCAAAACAACTGGGGATCTGTATTACACACCACGGAAAAAAATGCCTGTGGGTAGTCTATTCTACATTCTACATGGAGTTTCATGAATGCCAGTACAACACTGGGGAAAGCTCAAAAACCTTCTGCGTGGTTATCGTTCTTAGTCAACAGTTAAAGGAAAACTTATCTGCTCAAGGTGCTTACCAGGTCTGGCTACAAAACACTTCAGGGGAGGATCTTTAAACTCCTTATATTTTGTGAGTAGTACTTGTCAGTTAAGAAAGGATGTTCTGCTGGTGAAATTAATTCATATAATGTGAAAGCTCATTTCATAGATGTTGTGTAGCTGTGGTAACAGGTTTCTATGGCTTACTTTCAGCCTAAAATATTATCATTTCTCTTTGCTGTGAGCTGGCTTTTGAACTTTTAAATGGAAAATAATTCGTATACAGAAAATTAAACATAAATGATGAAAACTCTGCACAGATTTTTGTGGCTATAAAATTTAGATGAGTTTCTATTAAATGTATAATCTATTTCTTGTTCTTTTGTGACAACAGAAGCAGAGACAAGCTGTACGTATGTACAAAATCAGAACAGTAATTATATTAAAGAATATCTTATGTGCTAAAGACAACCTCCAAAGAGGAAAAGGAAAATTTCCCCTCTCCTGGTTCACAAAAAAATGAGAACACAAAAATATTCTGAAGGATTATTTTTAAATAGTTATTGTCTGCATCATTCCTTGACATTCCGCCTTTTAATATAGAATTCACCGAAATCTCAGAAATGTTTTGGGAACTCCCATCACACAGATGGAAATTTCAAGTCTTAAGCAAAAACTACCTAAGTACAACTAATAAAACCCCACTTGGTGCAGCAAATATAGACAGCACTCATCATTTTACATAACCTGAGTGTAATTTAATCCAACGCTAATAAAAACAACATTAAAAATGCAGGCAAAAATATCAGACATACATTCACTATCAAGCAAGTGTTCCTTTTAAGAGCAGAGAATTAAAATGAGGTTTGGGTTCCACTCAAATATGCATGATATGGATTTAGCAAAAAGTCCTAGACAATTATTTTACTTCACATACAATGTTTCATTGTTTGGAGTAGGTCAGAATGCTGTTTGTGGTTTGCAGCAAACGCACAGGAATCACAGTAAAGCTGCAGTAACCTTTCTGGTAAACTGAAGGGTATTTAGAAGAGAACTCTGTTAGATATTCTAATTGTAAATTAGAAAAGATACAGATACAATGAAAAAGATACAGATCAGAGGATACTTTCAGAAAGCAAAACATACATGCACAGTGGGCATGTATATGCACCTAAAAAGAGGGCTCTGAGTTCAAGGATGGGGGGAAAATCTGAAGCATGTACTATTTAAAAATCTGATCAGCATATTAACAAGACTTTCAGTACATACAATTTATGTAATTATGATATATGCATTTGTATGCTGTTTACCACATTTTGTTAACTATTTTTGATTTAAGTTAAATCTGATCACATATACTTTATGTATTATATTTTAGCTATCATATCCCACATTACATATTAAACTCACTTGGATTCTGCTATGTTTGGTCAGTTCTCAAAAATGCTTTATTATTTTACATGGCATTAAAAAATCACTTTTTTCTAGCATTTCAAATCCATTATTCCCCATTTTCTCTACTTCTCCTCTGTGTAAAATGACGTGATACAGTCAATCAGTACCGGTTTACTGAGATCAGGATACTATGTATTCCAGTCTTATCCCAAGGAAGCTAGTATATCATTTGGAAAGTGGACTAGTTTCTAAACTCAGACATTTAGCACTTCGCAAGGGTCTATGTTTGAGAGGGAAGGAATTCGGGGCCATTCCAAGGAATTAGCCCTGCCCTAATGAATGCTCATCCTTACCTTTATAACATGCTCCTTGGGGAAAGCACCGATTTCCAGGCACCTATGCACATGGCGTTTTGCAAGTCTCAGGTGTCTAAACGAATGAGGAAAAAAGAAATCTAGCACATGGAAGGACCATGGAGAATTTGAAGCCTCAAGCTAAGTATATGCACATCTGTTTTTCTCTGTCTTTCTAATGGTGGGGAACTGTTTAAGTCAAATGATATTTATAAAAATAAAAAAAAAAACCTTCAGATTTTTAAACTGAAAAACCATATTTCTCAGTTTAATTTCCTGCAGATATATTTTAAATATACTATACAGCTCTGTTAGCTGTATAAATACTTCAGCACAATGCTGTAAGTGGACTGGGTCTGGAAGCTGGGGGAATGTTCTGGAAGGCTGGGAGGAAATTGATCGGGGCGGGGAGACAGGGGAGAAGAAAGGCCTTGAGCCTGAGCCCGGGCCCGGGCCCGGGCCTGAGATTGTTCTAGAAGGCTATGGGGTTGGGGGGGAACGGTGTGGAAGGCAGGGGAATGTTCCAGAAGGCTGTGAGGGGCTTCATCTGGAAGCTCATGGGGGTTCTGCCTGGAAGGCAGGGTAATGTTCTGGAAGACTGGGTGGCACCTGTCTGGAAGTCAGAGGATTGTTCTGGAAGGTTGGAGGGGGAGGGGGAGCCTTGGGCTGGGAAGCGGGGGAATGTTCCGGAAAGCTGTGCGGAAGTGTTGTCTGGATGCAGCTCGGTGTGCAGCACCAGGGAGATGCTGAGGTAAAATGAGGTGAGGTGCTTGAGCGGAGCATCGGCAACATATGTGAAAACCTGCTGTTTGTTCTTTCCCTTCCCCCTGGGAGAGAGAAACTTTCTAAAGCAGAGAGAACAAAATGCTGTTTATTAGCACTCCTCTCCAAATCCCAGGTCACTTCTAAAAAGCCAAGAGC